AAAAAAAAAAAGATATTTCAATGGGCAATTATGAACACACTTGAAATAAATAAAAAAAAATAGACACTCTCCCGCAAATCAGAAAATCAATAAGGGATATATAAGGATGTGTCCAAAATTATATATATAAAAATATTTAAAAATTAACCAAATGAAAATTTTAGAACTAAAAAATTTATTTTTATTGGTTCTTTTTAATTACACATGATAGTAGAATTCATTTTGACATAATTATAAAAGCATGGAATATATCTTGTTCTAATTTAGTCCCCAATACCTCTCCTTCCCCTGCCTCCTTCCACCCTCTGYTCCTTTCCCTCTACTATATTGGTCTTTCTGCCATTTATCCGTAGTCATTTTTTAAAATTAATTTCTTATTTATGTACATGAATGATGAGATTCACTGTGGTATATTCATATATGTACATGGAAAAGTAGAACTAAAAAATATCATAAACAAATATAACTAATTCAATGAATGGGCTCAATAACAGAATGGAGAAACAATCAGCAAATATGAACCCAAAGAATTGACATTACCCAATTAGAACACAGAGAGAGAAAACAGATTGAAGTTAAAAACTAATAATAAACAGAGTCTCCAAAACATGTGTGACTTATCATCAGGTCTATCATTCGTGTCATCAGCATCCCAAAAGAGGAAGAGAAAGGATGGGGCTGAAAAAATATTCAAGGAGTAATAGCTTCAAATTTCCCAGATTTAGCCCAAAGAATCAACCTTTGCATTCAAGAAGGTGAACAAGCTAGGTTTGTGTGGTACTGAGGATCAAACCCAGTGCCTTCCACATGTGAGGAARGTAAGYACTCTACCACTAAGCTACAACCCCAGCCCCAAAGTCAAACTGTTGAAAACTAAAGATGATTCCAGAGAGAAGACAAAAGGAAGGAAACAAAAGAGCAGAATCAATGAAACTGAGGAACAGAAAAATTAATAAAAAAAGTTAACTCCTGAAGAGATTAGTTAATCTGATAAACCTCTAAGCAACTATCAAGGAAGAAAACATAAATAACTAGTATCAGGAGTGAATGAAACAGAGCTGGGAGCTGGGGATGTGGCTCAAGTGGTAGCGCGCTCGCCTGGCATGCGTGCGACCCGGGTTCGATCCTCAGCACCACATACAAAACAAAAGATGTTATGTCCGCCGAGAACTGGAAAATAAATATTAAAAAATTCTCTCTCTCTTTCTTAAAAAAAAAAGAAAAAAGAAAAAGAAACAGAGCTGGGGTTATGGTTCAGTGGTAGAACACCTGCCTAGCACACACAAGGCCTGGAGTTCCATACCCCAATAGCACAAAAAAGGAGGAGAGAAAGAAAGAAAAAGAAAAGAAAAAATCCGCAAGAAGTGAATTAAATAAAAAATATGTCACTATAAACCCTGTGGATATCACAAGGGTAAGAAAATACTACGAAGAACTCAACACACATTATACAACTTGTATTAAAATGACCAATTCCTCAAAATGTACAAACTACTACAACCTAATCTGTACGAAACAAAGAATTTAATATAACCATTAATAAAACCGAATCTGTAACTTAAAATTTCTCCCCAAAATCTCCAGATCCAAATAGTTTCACAAATTCAAAACCAATTCTACACAATTTCTTCAGAAAACAGAAGGACAGGGACCTCTTTATGATTTGTTCTATTAAAGCCAATATTATCCATGGGCTGGGGTTGTAGCTCAGTAGAGCGTTCGCCTATCATGAGCGAGGCCCTGGATTCGATCCTCAGAACCACATTAAAAAAAAAAAAAAGTAAATAAAATAAAGGCATTGTGTCCAACTACACCTAAAAAATAAAAATAAATATTTTTTTAAATGCCAATATTATTCAAATAAGATAAAGAAAAACAAAAAGTATATATCAATATCCATCATTAATGCAGATACAACAATCCTCAAAAAAAAACATTAGCAAGGCTGGGATTGTGGCTCAGTGGTAGAACACATGTCTAGCATGAGTGAAGCACTGGGTTTGAGTCTCAGCACCACATATAAGCAAGTAAATAAATAAAGGTCCATCAATAACTAATAAAAATATTTTWAAAAAATTAAAAATTAGCAAAGAGAATTCTGCAAAAATAAATAAACAC